GTAAATCTTACTCTTACCCGTGGCTTGCTGTGTAGCTGAGTGGCTGGCCCCTGGAGTCCTCCTCCTTCTCCAGCTGCTAGCTCTCTCGCTCCAGGTTTCTCCCTCTATATACTCTCTCTGCCTGCCAGCCCCACCTATCCTTTCTCCTGTCTTGCTATTGGCCCTTCAGTTCTTTATTAGACCATGAGGTGTTTTAGACAGGCACAGTAACACAACTTCACAGAGTTAAACAAAAGTAACACACCTTAAAATAACAACACAGAACTGTAGTGGTTCCTTGCTTGTTCCCATCTCTAGGTCACACCATTGGCTCTTTTTTATCTCCTCAGCAATTCCATTCCCTATAAAACCAAATCCAGGCTAAACTGCCTCTCTCTGAAGCACCTAGAGTGGCTTGTGTTTTCTAACCTGACCACTATACAGAGTTAGTTGTAATGGGTAGCCATTACAGCTTTGATCTGGAAATACCAGCCCCTCTGAGGCTTCGGTAACTGTCACACCTACAAGGTGGAGCCAAGAGAGGACCCCTGTAGACCTGAGATCCGGATGGGGGAGCTCGCTTGGTTCCTGGACCCTGGACACTGGAGGTAGACTGAGCAGAGTTCTCCAGAGAACACCGCCAGACTGTGCTACACCTTTTCCAGACCCTGTAACCTATCCCTTCACTTGTAAGTTACTCCACAAAAATAAACCTCCCTTTTAACTATGTGGAGTTGCCTTAATATTTTAACCAATATCTGGTGCCCAACATGGGGCTCGAACCCACGACCCTGAGATTAATAGTCTCGTGCTCTATTGACTGAGTTAGCCAATAGTCACTTTTTAAAGCTGAGCCTACAGGAATGTAGAGTTTGTGGAAAACATCTTGTAACCAAAGGGAATCTGAGAGTAATGCCAACACTCAAAAGAGAGTCAACAGGTACCAGATTCTGGTTGTCTTAGTCAGTGTTCTATTGCTGTGAAAAGACACCATGACCACAGCAACTCTTACGAAAGGAAGCATTTAACTGGGGGCTTGCTTACAGTGTAAGAGGGTGAGTCCGTTCTCATCATGCTAGGGAACATGGAGGCATGCAGCTCGATCCTATGGCAGAGAGAGAGAGAGAGAGAGAGAGAGAGAGAGAGAGAGAGAGAGATCTGGCTCCAAAGCCCACCCCCAGCAACACACTTTCTCCAACAAGGACACACTCAGTCTAAAGTGGTAGCAACCTCGGTTCGAATCCGAGTCACGGCACCAGATGTTGGTTTTTAGTGGCACTCTTACCCTGTGAGGAAAAGTTACGAAACACGACAGAATCCACTAATATGAGAAGAGAAGGATAGATGTGATCAGGCCTGCTGAAAGGACACGTGTGTGAAGGGGCACGGGGGAACATGGGGACCGGCTTTTAAAGGCCAAGCCCCACCTGTGAACACAGGCCCACGTAGCTACTCCATGCATACACATAGATCATGTGGTTGTACCACACGCTTTACGAAACCATGCAGCCATGGGGTCATGGGTCATACAGGACCTATGACCTGGAAATGACTAGGTGGAAATGACTAAGTGTCCCACCGGCATTTGTGACAGTGGGGGTGTGGTGGGAATTCCTATCAGCCATACCTCCTAATCTTTCCAAGCAGTTCACCAACTAGGGAATTAAGCATTCAACTCTATGAGCCTATGAGGGCATTTTTATTCAAACCACCACACTGGTGATGCTATTTAGAAATCTTTTTTGTTTTGTTTTGTTTTTTGTTTTTCGAGACAGGGTTTCTCTGTGTAGCTTTGCGCCTTTCCTGGAACTCACTTGGTAGCCCAGGCTGGACTCGAACTCAGAGATCCGCCTGGCTCTGCCTCCCGAGTGCTGGGATTAAAGGCGTGCGCCACCACTGCCCGGCACTATTTGGAAATCTTAGATCACACTGCATGAATCTAGAGAATTTTATCGTAAGATTAATTATTTCTTTTTTGAGCTTTTGTGAAATGAGTTTGAAGATTTTTTTTTCCATTACATGTAACTAAATGTGATGGAAACTTGATGATACTTGGATGATGAGCCAATCAGAGAAAATATGGTCTCCACAAGACCCTGTTAACATTTGGGACATCTTAGAGATGGAGCAGGGGTCTGGGAAGTACATCTTCATGCTGCTGTTCTTGCTGTGTGGTTAGTTTTATATCTCTGTTCAGATATAGATGGTATTGTCTCCATAAGTTTGGCAGCCTTAGACAACAGACATTCACTCTTTCACAGTTCTGAAGGCCAGAAATCTAAAATCAAGGCTCCAGCAGAGCCAAGCTCCCTCCAAAGGCTCCACGAAAATCTTGTCTTGAATCTCCCAGATTCTCATAGTGGCTCTTAGCATTCCTTGGTTTATGAATGCGTAAGTCTAACTCCTGTCCCTCCCCCACCCGTGTGTGTGTGTGTGTGTGTGTGTGTGTGTGTGTGTGTGTGTGTGTGTGGTGTGTGTCTGTCTGCCTATCTGTTATAAGGAACACTAATCAGATTTGGGGCAAAAGCCTACTTCCAAATAAACTCATATTCTGAGGGCCGGGTGGACATGAATTGGAATGCACAATACTTTAACCCACTACATAGACATTAATCATAACTGTTTGTAGCTAAAGTTTTCCTGTGTCCCAGCCTGCCAGCAGATGGGACAAATCTCTCCCACTAGTGTCCCCCAAATAAACACACAGAGACTTATATTACTTATAAACTGTATGGCCGTGGCAGGCTTCTTGCTATCTAGATCTTACATCTTAAATCAACCCATTTCTATTAATCTATAAGTTGCCATGTGCTTGTGGCTTACCAGTATCTTAATATCTTCTCATGGTGGTGGCTGGCAGTGTCTCCTGACTCAGCATTCCACTTCCACTTCCCAGCCTTCTCCTCTCTCTTTGTCCCGCCTATACTTCCTGCCTGGCTACTGGCCAATCAGCACTTTATTAACCAATCAGAGCAATACATTCAGAGCATACAGAACATCCCACAACAACTGTTGTTATCATAAAAAGTCATATGTACCAGGCTTTTTCTTGTTTTGTTTTTTGTTTCTGTTTTTTGAGACAGGGTTTCTCTGTGTAGCTTTGGTTCCTGTCCTGGATCTCACTCTGTAGACCAGGCTGGCCTCGAACTCACAGAGATCTGCTTGGTTCTGCCTCTCAAGTGCTAGGATTAAAGGCATGCACCACCACCGCCTGGCTCAGGCTTTTTCTTTTGGGCCACCAACCAGCTTCCAAATCATGACATGGAGACTTATTATTGGTTTTGAATGCTCCGCCCAGCCTAGGCTCGTTTTTGGCTAGCTCTTTTAAGTTAAATTAACCTGTTTCCCTTTATCTACTTTTTGCCTTGGGGCTTTTTACTTTTCTTTCTTTCTATGTATCTTACTTTTACTGCTTCTCCTGTCTGGCTGGCAGCTGCCTGGCTTCTGTCCCCAAGTACCTCCCTTGTTCTCTTCTCTTCCTCTGAAGCCTAGATTTCTCTTCTTATTTATTCCCTCTGCCTGCCAGCCCCACCTATCCTTTCTCTGCCTAGCTATTGGCCTTTCAACTCTTTGTTAGACCAATCAGATGCCTTGGGCAGACAAGGTGAATTATGCAACACATCTTTACATAATTAGACACACATCCTTACATTGTTAAACAAATGCATCATAAGCAAATGTAACACACCTTTACACAGTTAAAGTAATATTTCGCAGCATAAACAAACACAACACATCTTTGTCCAGTTAAAATAATATTCTACAAGTCATATTGTTGAATTACTTACATAAAATATTTATTAGTAAAATCAGTAGCATGCTTACAGTAGCACAGAAATCAGTATTGTTTTTAGTGTAGCTGGATCTCAGTTGACCATCTGCTGAAGGTGTAATTGTGAGTAAGTCAAGATCTCTATTACCCAGAGATTTCACTTACACAACACACAATGCACACTCCATAGCTGACACCCAATAATGTCAAACCATTAAGAACAGTTCCAAGGGGCTGGAGAGATGGCTCAGTGGTTAAGAGCACTGACTCCTCTTCCAGAGGACCGGGGTTCAATTCCCAGCATCCATATGGCAGCTCACAACTGTTTGTAATTCCAGTTCCAGGGGAAGTGGCAAAACACCAATGCACATAAACACTTCCAAAAAAAAGTTCCAAAACCATGATGTAAATAACAAGAGGTCTGAGAAACTAACTCAAAGCAAAATGCACATCATCCACAGTGCATTTTCAGCAACAAAGCCATGCTTGTAGGATTGTAAAGAGAACACACCTTATTTCAAGGACAATGGAAGTTTTGGAGGATCTTCTGTATTTGAAAAAGTTTTTTTTCTTTAGTCAGACAAACAACTCCTAAGGTAATGCTCTTTAAAAACTTAGGCTTTCAAACGTGATGCTTCCTGAGTGAAACATACTTTTGAAACTGGGAAGTCAGAATGGAGGGACTGGTTCTGATGGAAGAGAACTGGTTTTTGTTTTCTTTTTTTTTGTTTGTTTTTTCATGTTACAACTATGCCAATTTCAATTAAAGAGACAACCTCTAAAACATGGCTATTAACCTAACCACCAATTAGAAAGCCTACACATGGAAAGTAGATTGTAGCTTATTTGCTGGAACCCTCAATTACTAATTGTAGTGTTAAAATCAAGGTAGGCAGGCTGGTCAGTGTGCTTAGGGGATGGAGTAATAATTAGGAAATAATACGGATGTGACGTTGTGAATGAAAGCTTGAAGTGAGAGAGAAGCAAGTTAAATCAGAGGATCCAGAGGGGATCCCTCACCCAAATCCACAGGATCCAGAGGGGGACCCCTCACCCAAATCCACAGGGTCCAGAGGGGATTCCTCACCCAAATCCACAGGATCCAGAGGGGATTCCTCACCCAAATCCACAGGATCCAGAGGGGATCCCTCACCCAAATCCACAGGATCCAGAGGGGATCCCTCACCCAAATCCACAGGATCCAGAGGGGATCCCGCACCCAAATCCACAGGATCCAGAGGGGATCCCTCACCCAAATCCACAGGATTCAGAGGAGATACTTCACCCAAATCCACACGTAACCAATGAGGAATACAAGCTGAGAGCAGTGATTGGCACGGATTTCCTGCCTCTGGCACATTTGCGACCGCACTGCCCTACATCCTTGTAATCCTATAGACAAGGGAATAAACATAAGGCAGTCCTTAAAAAGGCCGGAAGTTTTCAGTGACTTAAAAATATTAAGAGCCGTGTGCAAAGGGGGAATGTTTGTTCACATTTCTCACTGAGCATAGTTTCAGTTCTAAATAAATCATATTCAAATATTTAGGCACAAGGCATACATGTAAGAAAAAAAACATTGCTAAGCAGTGACTAATCAAGCAAGATTTGTATAGCACAATTTATTATTAATGAATCAAAAAGGTTTTTTGGTGCTGGGGACTGAGCCACAGTTATCCTTAAGGCTTTGTAAGGAAGTGTACATATCTTCTTTTGATAGCTAATTTAAAGCATCAACTTAAAACCTGCCTAAATGAGGAAAATTGCCCCATAGTTTTAAATACAAATATTGGGAAACACAAGGTGATTTTAACAGACTTTGTAAATTTCTATATAGTCAGTAAAGAGTTCTGAGATGAACTGCAATTAAAAAAAAAAAACCCAAAAAACAGGAACAACTGCAGTCTGATATCATCAAGTCCATTTATCATGAGTTGGTCAATTTTTAATGACTGCCTTCTCCACTCAGAATTCTGGGAGAGCAGGATCCCTGGTGCTTAGCCTGATGCAGAGCAAGTATGCAGTAATGCTGCTGAACTGTTCTCTAGTTCTTACCTTCCGCGTAGACGGATTGAAGTCGCTCTGGACAATTCAACTATTATCGGATCATCTCTCCTTCTATGTCTGTTTCACACTTCAAACTGAATACACCCAAGGAAAACACACTGGGCCTCTACCACAGCTTGTTTTACCTGTATTCCTACGTCCGGTGCCACCACATAACAACCCAGGCCCACTTACATACTTCTAGACACTTCTTTCACACCCACCGTCTGAGCTAGTTTAGAGAGTTGTCACTGTTTTTACTTTTATTTATTTTTAATGACAAACTAGCCTAGTCCCTTCTTCAAAATCCTTGAAAACGAACCCCCGCATTACCCCCTTCACACAAATAAATTCCCTCCTTATAATCGTCTCATCTGCCTCCAGGAAAGCATCTACGTTCTTCAGTATTGGTAGGTCTACCTTCTTCTGTGCACATACCTTCAGACTGCTGCTACTGCTCTCTCTCTCTCCAGCTCCAAACTTTGGTTATTCAAAATGAATACTCCCCAAACACTTCGCGGGCCTCCACACGACCTGTATCTGTTGTTTCCTCTGCCTAGGAAGAGCACTCCTTTCTTGCAATGACCTCCTCTGGCAGCTTCTTACAGTGCCTTCAAGATCTAGCCGCTTCCAAACCTCTGACCATCACCCTCCTTCACAGACTTCCATTTCCACGCTCCTCAACACTTTGAAGACTCAGGCTGTTTTCATGTTTCATAGAAAGCAACAGTGTGCCGTATTACTTTTGTGAGAGACCACGCTTCCGTTCATGCCCACACTTTTAGAGATGGAGAAAGACGAACCACTGAGGTGTCATGACTTAACAAAAGGAACAGAAGTGGCTGGAGGCTAAGAGCCTGGGCCAGAACACAGACTGCCAGGCTTTCAGCCACATTAAAAAAAAAGCCACTTTTGAAGTTAATTCCCATCTATCACTACAGTGTGACACAACCACATGGTTACATTGTTGCTTTGACATTCAAATCCCCTTCCCCCAGGTTTCCTGAAGGAAGGGCCAACATCCTCCTTTGGCATCCAGTGGTGACGGCAGGGTTCCTCTCCATCTCTATCTTTCACAGCCTGGAGTAAGGGGTGGGGTGGGGTGGGGGTGAGGGATGCTCTGTCTGAAAGACTTCTGTTTAGGATCGGTCCCTGCTGGGTTAGTTTGTATTTCTGGAAGCCTTCAGCGCCCACCCGGACGTGAGCGGATTTTAGGATCGGAAGCGGTTTAATCGAACTCCTGGGAAGAGCAACATTCCAGGGCGCTGAGAAGCCGCCTTGAAAGGCGGGCTTCACACACACTCCTGCGTGGCCGGACAAACTGACCGGCCAGACGGACGGATGCTCTGGTACAGCCTCCCCGGACCTGCAGCCCCGGGGGAGAGGTCCTCATCAGTCCCGCGGCGCCGCAGGAAGCCCCGGGGGGCGGGGCTCCAGGCCACGCCCCCCAGCTCTGATTGGCCCCTTCGAAACAGGCGGCAGCGCTCGGCGGCGAACTGCGGCGGCGGCGGCGGCGGCGGGGGCGGTTGGTCCCGGAGTGCTTGCACGCTCAGATTGAGCCCGAGTCGCCCGGCAGGGAGAAGTGACTTCGCTCCCGGGCTGGTGAGTGCCTTCCCTGTTGGATTTCTCTTTTCCTCCCCAACTTTCCGCCGCCTTCCCCGGCGGTCCCGCGGCCTCTGGGCTGCACCCCGGCCCGGACTCCCTCCCCTGCACCCGCCCGGAGTTCTAGAGTCCCGGGTGAAGTTCAGGTGGGCTGCAGAGCTGTGGGATTCCCCCCCCCCAGGAGCTCTGCGATTGGCTGGCTGAGGGAGCCGCGGGCTGCGATTGGCTCCTGGGGCTGTCACGGTGACGTTTAAGCTCGCCTCCTGACACCTGCCCGCTCCGGTGGGTACGAGGGGCGACAAGTGGGAGCCGGCTGGTCAGCGGGAGGGGCGCGAGGTGGAGCCGCCACCCGGCCAGCTCTGAGCGACAGGCTAGTGCAGGATGGCCAGGGCACCCTCCTCCTCAGCTCCCAGCCAGAGAGGGTCACTGGACTCCTCATCAACGCCCTGGGAAAGACGTGATGTGAAATCACTGGCCCTGGACAGACTACGACTCACGATCACACCGCTGTCCTGTCCCGTGGTAGGCACTTGCAGGCCCTTCCCTATTTGTCCTCTGCAGGGCTCTGATCTCCCAGACTTAACGGAATTAGGGAACATGAGTGGCGCCTTTGCGCAATGCTCTCCCACCCACACCCCTGGGTTTGGAGAACTGAACTGGGGGAGGCTTGCAGAATGCCCTGGGGAGGATGGAGGAACCCTGGCGTCCCTATGCAGCCGCCCCCGGGTTCCATCCTAGCCCTTTTAAACCGAGGGACCGAGTCGTACACATTAGAGTGCTCTGTACTCTTTCTTTAAAATGAAGAAATGCGTTTTTCTGCAGGCCCAGTCTAGGTCAGAGTTTGGGTTTTGCGCAGCCCACGTGAGAACGTTAATGACTACCCTTAGAAGATAAGCAGCTGTGAACTGCTGTGGGCTCACTTCTCTTTAGCGTGACCACAGAATGATTAAAACTTGGAATTTTCCCACACTTTTGATTCCCTTTAGGAGGAAGGTAGTAAGAATATTCTGGTGTGGCTCCTGACGTGATGTCATATCTGACTCATCAGTTTAAAAAAAATCTCACTATGGCCAACTGACACTGACTATTAGCTGTCTGCTGCTTTGACATTGTTGAGTTGAAAGTGGGTTTTTCTGGTGTGTGTGTGTGTGTGTGTGTGTGTGTGTGTGTGTGTGTGTGTGTGTGTTCGCGCGTGTGTGTTTTAAAGTGTTTCAGAGTTGGTAGGCATGTGGAGTTCAATAGCAGTTCTTGCTAGATGTGCAACTTTAGTGAGATAAATTATTAAATCTTTCTAAGCCTAACTTTCCGAATCCATTTTTTAAAAAGATTAATAATAGCTTCTCCTTTATTGGCACGAGGGCTGTGGGGATTAAATGAAATAATCCATAGAATTACTGTGACATAATGCCAGACACTTGGTGATTATTATTCCCATGCTATTTAACTTGGGCTAAAAGTTATAAACTATCTTGAAAGGGCAAAGGGAAGGAAAGGCGCGAGGGCAGTGGCCGAGACAGTAACACCTATTTCCGACTGGCCAGGTCAGGACAGGTAGGTGCACGCCTTTAATCCCAGCACTCGGGAGGCAGAGGCAGGCGGATCTCTGTGAGTTCAAGGCCAGCCTGGTCTCCAAAGCGAGTTCCAGGAAAGGCGCAAAGCTACACAGAGAAACCCTGTCTCAAAAAACCAAAACAAACAAACAAACAAACAAACAAAGAAACAAAATCGTAGTACACCCTGGTGTTGCTGTTTACCAAGCACATTACAGGATTGCCTGGTATAGGGCTCTCGATGCTTTGCCTATATATTGTTAAGCTTACTACTCCCGCCATCCAGCAGGTGTTGTCTCTATTTAATACATATGGAAATTAATACATATTTAATACATATGCTTGGAGAAGGGAGAGGAATTATCGGAGTCCATCCAGAGTGTTGTGTAGACTGCCTCACGCCAACCAGCATTCTGATTCTTTTCTGTATTATTTTACATTTGCATTTTATTAAGCGGCTTCCCTAGACTGCCTTGTTTGTAAGGCTTAGATTGGTACTTTGCTATGCAAATAGGCTTATTTAGAATATTTTGTGATTTAAAATTAAAATAACTTATGATGGGAATTCAAAGTGTGTGATGGGAGACTGTCAAAACATGCACGTCATCAATTAAGAAAAAGGAATCTAGTGGTGTTTAGAAATGAGTTCAAAAGGAATGCTTCCTAATTTGTATTTTCCCATTTGGTTTTTATTAAGCTTCCCCCTCCCTTTTTAATATCTTAATTTCAGTTTGGAGATAAAGGGTAAAGTCACTTACCTCAATAATGTTTTTCAAACTTATGATTGAGAAAAGTGTAGAATTAAAATTAATGCGTATAATATTATTATATTTTATTGTCTTTCAGTAGTGTGTGAATATATTTATCCTCCTCTTCTTACTCGTTTTCTACATTTGAATTAGGTACACCTTTACAAACCTAATGATGTGATGTATATTGAGAGAATGGGAAGCAAATCTAATTTATCTCAAGTTGAGTTTTTCTATATTTAATTAGAATTTTATAATCATAGAGAACTGCCTCAGAAATAATTTTTGCAAGACAATGGTTGAAATTACATTTCTTAGGTGTTTCTTCCAAGAACCCAGTAAGTTTTCTCATTGAATTACACTGTGACACACCAGATGTTTTGATTAACAAAAAGTTACTAAGTATTTCATATATGAATTATAAATCTCACAGAACTTGGCTGTAATACAATGTAGCACACACATGAAATGTAATTCCATCTTTGTTGCTGATAGGATCTTGGGAGTATTTACCCATCAGTCAGTCATATGCTAGGTATGGATGGAGTGCTTCATGCAACATAAATTTGTTGTAAGAACATACTATGTTAGCTATGATGGAGTCTCTCTGTCTCTCTCTTTGTGTGTGTGTGTGTGTGTGTGTGTGTGTGTGTGTGTGTGTGTGTGTGTGTGTTTTGGGGGCTGGAACTGTGGGCTTTATGCATACATAGGCAGCCTATGACTTATTTATATTCCTGGCTGAAAATAAATTTATTTAAAAATGTTTGACTCTATTAAGAATTATTTCATCTTTCTCTCTCTCTCTCTCTCTCTCTCTCTCTCTCTCTCTCTCTCTCTCTCTCTTTCCTCCCTCCCTCCCTCCCTTCCATCCTTCCCTCCTTCCTCCCTCCCTCTCTCCCTTCTTCTCACTCTTTCCCTCTCTTCTTCCCTCCTTCGCTTTCTATCTTTTGACCTGTGCTGAGTGGTGGTTTGAATGAGAAATATCCCCACCTCCACTCCCAGGCTTATATGTTTGAATACTTGGTCCCTAGTTGGTAGAACTGCTTGGGAAGGATTCAGAGGTGTGGCCTTTGTTGGAGGTGTGTCACTGGGGGACTAGCCTTCATTCCCAATTAGCTCTTTCTGCCTCATGCCTGTGGAGTGGAGCAGATGTCAGCTCTTAGCTACCACTCCAACTTTCAGATAAGGATTTAAGTTCTCAGCTAGTGCTCCAGTGCCATGCTTGCCTGCCTGCTACCATGGATGGTCGTGGACTCACACTCTGAAACTTTAAGCCCCAGTAAATTCTTGCTTCTCTAATCTTCCTTGGTCATGGTGTCTTTTTTTTTTTTTTTTCAAAGATTTATTTATTATGTATACAGCATGTATGACTGTAGGTCAGAAGACGGCACCAGATCTCATAACAGATGGTTGTGAGCCACCATGTGGTTGCTGGGAATTGAACTCAGGACCTCTGGAAGAGCAGTCAGTACTCTTAACCTCTGAGCCATCTCTCCAGCCCCGGTCATGGTGTCTTATCACAGCACTAGAAAAAAAGCAACTGTTGCTTTGTAACCCAGGCTATCCTCCTGTCTTAGCCTTCTGAGTGCTGGGATTAATGGTGTATACCACCATGTCTAGAGAAAAGTTTTTACTTTTTTTTTTTTTTTTTTTTTTTTTGGTTTTTCGAGACAGGGTTTCTCTGTGTAGCTTTGCGCCTTTCCTGGGACTCACTTGGTAGCCCAGGCTGGCCTTGAACTCACAGAGATCCGCCTGGCTCTGCCTCCCGAGTGCTGGGATTAAAGGCGTGCGCCACCACCACCACCGCCCGGCAGTTTTTACTTTTTACCCACACATATTTTCAGGACAGTATGAATGTTCCTTAAACTGTTTGATAAGTTTTCAATTAATGGATAATTACATATATTTTTTCTAATATTTTGTTATGTTAGTGTACTATATTTCCCATGCAGTCTTTTAATTGGAGTGATGAAATTGAACTGATTTTAAATTTGTTTTAAGCCAGGCAGTGGTGGCGCACGCCTTTAATCCCAGCACTCGGGAAGCAGAAGCAGGTGGATCTCTGTGAGTTCGAGGCCAGCCTGGTCTACAGAGTGAGTTCCAGGACAGGCTCTAAAGCTACACAGAGAAACCCTGTCTCGAAAAACCAAAAAAAAAAAAATTGTTTTCAATGTTTTTGTCAAGGGGTGGGGGCTGGAGAGATGGCTCAGCAGTTAAGATCGTGTACTGCTTTTGCAGAGGACCCAAGTTCATTTCCCAGCATCCCTGCTGCAAGATAGCTCAAAACCACCTCTGACTTACTCCAGCTCCAAGAGATCGGGACCCTCCTCTGTCCTCCTTTACCTGAACTCACATGTGTATACCTTCTTAAACATGCACACAATTAAAAAAAAATCTTACAAAACAGTTTTTTTTGAATTCCAAAACTAAACTGAAATTTCTAAGATGAAACTGAGTTTTTCAGATTCAATATCTGCCAAACACTGCAAGAGACGTTTTCAAATTCTCTATCAAGGGAACTATCTCTGTATTTTGTAAGTGATATGTGGTGTTTTAGTAAGTGAACTGAAAATCTTGCTCCTGCTTTCTTATAGTTGTGGAGATTGAAGGGCCTTGTGTATATTAGCCAAGTACTCTATTACTGAACTCTGTCTCAGTTGACAAATTGTATTTTTCTGAAAAGTCTTCGTCCACTATTGAA